AAAAAAAACAAAACAAAAACTTATGTGGCTGTTTCATGAATCGGATTGTAATTTTGTGTAAGAATATTTCCATGCACACATAAATGAGCACCATTGTAACTCATACTGAATAGAAAATTTAGTCTGTTTTGTAAATATAGCCATCTAGTGTTTTAGAAAGGAGAATTCTTAAATAAATGCATTACCAAAAACAAACTTATGTGTAATAAATTTATTTGAATTAGTAATATACAAAACATATATAACAGCAAATGTTTAATATTTATATGGCTTATTATACTCAACATGGAACAGAGTGCTACAAAAAAAACATACAAAACATAGCTCTACCTCATATATATTTATAAACGTAACTATTCACAGTGAAACAACTTAGAGAATCACGCAACAAAAGAGATTAAAATATTTAATATATCCCTGTCTGGAAAAAATTCTCTTTGAGAAGAATAATTTTTTACTGCGTTTCCTGTTGTCATTTTCTCACCTTCCCAGCTTGTTGTCTGTGCAGTGGCTGTTCTCTTTCTCTCTCACCCTCACTCTCTTAAACTCGCACCTCCCTTATGCTTCTGTGTGCGTGCATGTGCTGGGTCTGTAACCCCTGCCCCCTTCCTGCTCAGTGGACCAATACCTGTTTGCAGCGGACACTCGACGTCACGTAGTTGACCAATCACGTACGACTTGAACGGGGTAAAAATAAGGGGGCGGGGAGGGGAAAAAAGCGTATCCGATTCCTGGGCAGGAACCGGATTCTATCGTTCACTTCAAAGTGCCGGCTCTAGAGCTATTTTGTTCCTGACCGACACGACACATCGCTTGTGTGAGCTTATGGTGGGTACTTTAATTTGCAGTCTATGGCCATTCCACCCAAATCACAACATTGACAACACTCCGATGGTCGCTGTCATTCATGCTTTTCAAAAGTGACGAAAACATTTGAACGATATTTAATATTTAAGCTAGTTGTACTTTTTGGGGGGTGGGGGTAGCTCCTCTTATTTTTTCATGTGTCAGGTTTCAATACGTTAAAAGTTTGAAACTTTTACTTTGAATGCGAAGGGTCTCAGTTTCCGGTTTGCTCCACTTTTTTTCGTTTTAATTTTATCCTTAAGAACAAGCTGGTTACAGAGACAAGCTGGTTTTTAGGTGTGTTTTTGTTCAAATCAACAATAAAACAGGGAAAGTTTTCATGTTATTTGGGAAACATAACCTGTTGAAGAACCAACTCATACATACACTCAAAACATACACATATTGCAGCTTCGGCTACTTTATATTAATTATTCCTAGTACACAGACACAAGTCAAACGAGAAGGTTTTGCTGCTGCATTTGTTTTATTCTTACATATCTTGGTGAAAGACACTGAACACTAGTAGCAGCTGAAGTACAAACACGGAAACTTGTCAAAGCATGCAGTGTTTGGAGGAAGCGCTGACGGCAGTGTGCGAAACGTCTTCAGGTCGCTGTTTATGACACAAGTCGCGCCAATGTGGTGGAATGGACGGAGCTGTGGACAGAGGAGACAGGTCGGCCCTCAGCAGCACGTCGAAACCAACAGGAGCCCAGGAAGCTCTGCACCAGTGCCGACTCATCCAGAATCTGGTGGACATCTCGATTAGCAGCCTCCTGTCTCTTAGGACAAGATGCGCCGCATCCAACGACTTCACCCGGCGGGAGATCCGTACTTTAGAGGTACGTTTAAGATCCAGAGGTGACCCAGGTTTCTACCAGCTGTTTATCCAGTCTTTTGCTTCTTTAAAAGTAAGAGAATGATTGTATTGCATTCGCGATTCAAAGACATGCTACGCCATGTTATCTCCTAGATTCCGTGACATAGAAAATGTTGTTCACTTTGCAGCAAGTTTTTATTTATTTTTATTTTATTTTTTTAAATTACCCTCTCATATTATATTTTAATATGACTATAATAACTATGAAAGGGCGAGGTGGATGGGGTGGGGCTCTCGAATTTAAAGTTGGGCAGTCACACAGGAGTTACTTTAGCTTCAAGTGCAGATTTCTTAAAACCTTCGAAGACATATGCCACAGACGGTAAAGCACAGATTCAAAACAAACAAAAAATTATGAGGATGAACTGAATGTAGCTTCTTCAGGTCCAGGGTGCTCCTGTCAGTCATTTTCTCTCACTGTCTTCACTACTGTGGCTTTCTAGGACTCTTCAGGAGGTTAGCATTTGTAACATGTACTTTTCCTACACTCCTCCACTTCCTCCCAAGGTACAAAAAGTTATTATGTGTCCCAGATAATAAATGCAATATCTCAATATGCAGCTTATTGTTTATTTTCTGCAAAGCCATTCCTGCATTTGCCACCAACATTCCAGTTTGCTCAACACAGCTCAGTTCTGTTAAGCTAAGGAAAAATAAAATGTCATTACATAGCACCAAATAATGACATAATTCATCACTGGGCCTTTTACATAGTAAATTTTTTTTTTTAAGTAAAGTTTATAATATTATAGAAAGAATCATTTTGAGTTAGCACTTTAGCACTCAATAGTAGGGAATCACTTTAATATTAACATTTTAATAGCTCACGTGACTGTGAGCTGCCTTTGGTTACTGAAAATGATCTCAAAATCCTTGAAGATGTAAAGTGAATATTTTGACAGCAATTAGCACTTAGGTTTGTATTATTATTTATGTACATCAAATCACATATAAAATTGTATGTTGAATCTTGGCTGTAGCTCAGGAGGTAGAGCAGGTCATCTACTCATCCAAAGGTTAGTGGTTTGATCCCTGGCTGCTCCAGTCTGCAGGCCAAATATCGTTGGGCAAGATATGAAACCCGAGTTTCTCTGCGACGCATCCATTGGAGTACGAATGTGTGTGAATGTATGATTAAGTGCTTTCAGTGCTCAGATATAGTAGAAAAGCACTACTTAAGAACCAGTCCATTTACCACCTAAGTATATGGCTGCATGAGCTGCTAATATGCCAGATACACAATAAATGCACTACTTGCTCATACCTGGTACGGTGCAGAAAGTTAGAATAGACAGACCATCAGTGACTCTTAAAATCTTATCAGAGGTTAAACAAAGCATAACAATGTCCCTCATAGTCTTTAAGGTTCCCATATATAAAATGGATTATTGTATATGTGTATGTGTGTATATTTACACACATAGGACTCTCAAGCTGTGTGTTGCTATGTAGTATCTTTGCTGTTCGTAGGACTGCACTCGTCTGGACAGAGATCTTGGATGCCAGGGACCACTGTTGCTTAACTTTCCACATTGTTGGTATTTCTCAGGCTTCTCATGTTCCTTCTTCCTGATGTTGCTATCACTTGGTAAAGCTACATGTATCATTAAGCTTCGTTACTCTGCTTGTCCACCTTTTACTGTGTCTGTTGTTTGCCATCACCAGTTTGTCTGTCTGTATCTGAAAGTTCCACAGGATCTTAGCTCCAGTCATTCTCAACCACCCTGGAGGCGTGTCCCATTTTGACCTTGGGACTTCAATGTCATACTAGGTGCACAGATATTCCTATATACTGTGCTAGCCACTTGGTTATGACGTTCCATATATGTGCTACCTGCTAGCATCTTGAAACCTGCTGTTATGTGCTGGATTGTCTCAGGGGCATCTTTCCACAGCCTGCACCTGGGGTCTTGCCTGGTGCGGTAGAACCCAGCCTCTATGGCTTTTCTGCTTAGCGCTTGTTCCTGTGCTGCCATGAGTGGTGTCGCTGTGTGACAGTCCAGTGTTTTCCTGCAACTCGATCTCAGTCACTTCTTCTATTTGCTAGTGGTACATACCGTGCAGTGGCCTGTCCTTTCATGATGTTCCTCTTCTTGCTCCTCCTTGAATTCCTTATGGTCCTTTAATCATGTACAGTTCTGATATTCCAGGATCCATGTGGGGAGCATGGAGTCATAGGCTTTCTTGTAGTCAATCCAGGTGATGCATAGGTTGGTTAGTCTGGTCTTACAGTGAATGCTCTGTTTACCAGTAGCTGATGTTTTGCCCCTCTAGGTGTTTCTACCAGTTCCCTTCTGAGCCCTGCCTTATGTCTGTTCATCTTAGCTAGTATGATGCCTGACAGGAGCTTCTGCCCACATAGCAAGCAGGTCTGGCCTGGATCTGGTATCAAGCTGGCACTGCTGGCTGACTTCTGGCATGATAAGACGTATGTCATCCAGATATGAGCCAGGCTTGGCATACATTGCACTGTCTATGTGATGGCATGCCATATATAGCTCGATTGTGATTTTATTTATGTGGTCCAGGCCCATAGAAAACAGGTCTTCCCTGGATTCGGCATCAAGCTGGTACTTTTGACTGACTGGTGTCATGGCAGGGTGTATGTCAACCAGATGTGGGCCAGGTCTGGCAATGATGGTATTATTTATGTTCCTATTAGAGCAGGGCGATAAGACCAAAAATATTTATCACAATATACATTTGAAAATATGCGATAACGATATAACTGACGCTATAATTGACACTAGACAAAATAGTTTACAACTCTGCAACTTTATTAGTGCAAAAAACCCCAAAAAACCCCATCAATGTATTTTCACTTAAACAAGCAGCTGTTTTTTATGTGCATTAAAGTTATATAAAAATGTAACAGTGCAAATGCAAATTCCTTGCTGACAGTTTAACCAAAAAGGCATTTCCGGTGGAAATTGGCCGACGTGTCCTCAGCATAACCATGTATAATATCCACAAAACTTAAAAAGAGGTTATACACACACAGTACTCTAATATTATGTTGAAGCACAGTACGTATCACTCCGCGAGGCTCCTGCCTACGTTAGACAATCCATCAAGCGGTGCGGCTTTGTAGCTTAGCAAAGTCGTACTGAAACATTTGACAGATTTTCGAGCGCCGTGTACATAAAATCGTTTCGAGGTCAGTAAACACAACCAGAATTCATACATAAGGCACACGGGATTATAAGGGGCACTGTCGATTTTAAGAAAAATCAAAGGATTGATTTTAAGTGTGCTGTATTTTCCAAAAAACACGGTAATAACGACGGCCCACTAGCATGCTCTACCAAAAATAGTGCTTTGTTGTGTATCTGACGGACGGAAGCCAAACCAGTTCCACGCCACTGAAGTTGCAGCATTTTTACAAACCAATTCTGGTTCATCCGTTTCATTCAACGATCCGCTTTCACCCTCCTCATTCTCCGTCGCCACCATGCTTTTTCCGCCATGTGCGTATGAAAAGAAAGGCACTGCGCATGCGCGTTTTACCCATATTCTATCGCCATATTTCATTTTCTTATCGTTGTTCAACATTATACCGGTATTACCGTGAACGGTATGATATGGCCCAGACCTAGTTCCTATTTTCCTATTTTAGTTAGAACACCCAAATGCCATGTTGCAATACTATACAGCTATAGTAGCCAATGTTTTAAATGCAGGTTTGACTGGTTTGTGAGTGTACACTTTATCCAAAACCTAGTGAGGGTTTACTCATCATTGCCAGTGGGTGACTGTAGCTCAGGAGGTAGAGCAGGTCACCTACTGATTGGAAGGTTAGTGGTTTAATCCCTGGCTTTGCCAGTCTGCATGTCAAGAGTGTGAATGTGTATGAATGTAGTTAGGAGGCACTCAGTTTAGAGAGATTGTGTTAATGTGGCATGTTGTATAGAGCACTTTGAGTAATCCGGGAGACTAGAAAAGCACTCTGTAAGAATCAGTCCATTCCCTGTCTGAATAGAGTTTTGTCATGTTAGTTTTGTGCATGTTGTTATTACATGGCTTTATTAAGGTACACATTAGGCTGACATCTGGGGCCAGAGCTGAAACTGTTCTGGGCCAGCACAGGATCACCAGTGTGTCTGCAACTGGCCTTGTGCTGGCCCATGTGTAGGCCACATCTGGCAAACCAGATCTGGGCCACCAAAGGGCCGTCATTCTTTGCGGTATGTGGACCATGTGTAAGCACATTGTGTGGGCCAGATCCGGGCCATACCAATTTTGCTATGTGGGTGTGTTGTGGTGAGGTACATTATTGGCTGATAGTTGGATGAGACCAGTGCCTTCTGAGGATCCTTAGGGATCAGGACTGTCTGCCCACTCTGGTTGCATCTCATCCATGGAGTGCAGTTAACTTCTTTAGCCAGTAGCTGTGAATAATATCTGGGCATCGTGCTTTCCAATTTTTCATACTTGAGACCTGTTTTTTGGCTGTCTGCCACTGTGATGGTTACTGGACCCTGTTCAGGGAGGTTGCTATGGCCTGCTCTTAGCTGCACTAGCCACTGAGCATTGTTATTTTGTGTTATGTTCATCTCTCATATCCTCTTACAGTGTTTGGGTTGTATGAAAAATTCTACAGCACATGGTATAACACACACACACACACACACACACACACACACACACACACAATAGTCTTTTGTCGAAATATCACTACAGCAACTCAAAATGGTACTCATTAGTTTATTGCCCCCATATACTTGTGTACTTGCATGCATGCCAGACAACGTCGGAGCATGCTCTTAATGAGATGACAGTCTGTGTCCTGGGGGAGCTCCTGGACATTCTTAGATGCAACCTGAAAGTGTCGGATGCTCAAAATGAACCAGTTCTCATCTGTGAAAAGCACAGGGTGGACGTAACAATTTTGCTATTCTATGGCAAATGCCAGCCTCGCTCCATAGTGCCGGGCAGTGAGCACTTGGCCAACTGGAGGACATC